TATAACTCATATACAATTTTAATATTAAATATATCACTCGTATAATTTATTTTTACAATTCATATTATCCTATAAATTTTAATATTTTATTTCATATAACTAAATTTATTCCATAAAGGATAGACATATTAAATAAAGTGGTATGTAAATGCCACTTTATTTCTCTCTGTAATGTCCGAGACAATTCAATAGAGATGATATCTCGTCTCCAACTTCCCATCCTCTCCGCTTCATCTGGTTGCCTCCGCCGCCGCCTCTCCTTCTATTCAACCACTGCCGCCACCGCTTCTTCGTTCGCTTCCCACTTATCTCCTCCTCTGAAACCCCAAACTCCTCTCTTCCTACGCCCCCTCTCCTACTCCACCTCCCCTTCCTCCCTCGTCTCCTTCCGCCAATGGGCAGAATTCCTAGCCCGATCTTACGCTGCCGACCTATCCGTTGACGGTGGCCCGTCCGCATCCGAACTAATCCGTGAGCTCTCCTGGCTTCTACAAGACGCTACATTCCAGGTTGGCGAAACCGTGTTGCTCAGAACTGACCTCCAAGATCTCTACTGTTTATGGATGCAGCGAATCGAGGAGCGGCGTCCGTTTCAGTACATTGTTGGGTGTGAACATTGGCGTGATTTGGTCTTGGCAGTGAGAGAAGGGGTATTGATTCCTCGACCTGAGACGGAGCAGCTTGTTGATTTAGTGGCGGGGGTGGAAGGATTCAAGGACGGGTTATGGGCGGATTTGGGAACCGGGAGTGGTGCCATTGCGATTGGGATTGGGAGGATACTTGGGGAGAATGGAAGGGTTGTGGCGACGGATTTGAGTGAGGCGGCGGTGGAGGTGGCACGATTTAATGTGGGGAGGTATAAATTGGAGGTAAGCAATTCCTATGTTGCTATATTCTTTGAAAAATCTTTTACTTGTTTGGTATGAGTTTTGAAGGAATGGATTGTCTGCAAGTGTATATTGGATTTTTGTAATCACAGATTTTAGTGGATATTGTCGATATGCATAGATAGATGTTTGTGCATTTAATGCGTGTATTTATCTTTTATATAGGTTTGAACTTTGAAGGGGTTTTTTCAAAATGGGAGCAAGTCATTTTTAATGCTGAGGATATCCGGAAGGGTACTTAAGTGTCTATTTGTTTCGAGTCTTTCGACCCTGTGGATGTTTTGATGTAGAAGAAACGTTGACTGTTTGTTTTTGGTGTAAATTTTCTTTATTTATTTTACAGTTAATTACTTTTTGGCTATCTTCTTCGCAAAACAAGATAAATGTAGTCAACTTTAGTGTTTTCATTTTATGCTGGACAGAGATAAAAAACCACAAGTGTCAGTCACTAATAACTGGTATCCACATCGCCTGTAGCAATAGGACTCGTATTGCTTTTGATTTATCATTTATGTCTAAGGCATCGTTTGGACGACTTTTTTATGCTTCTTAAAGCAGATATTTAGCACATAAATTTTAATTTTTTAACTAAGAAGTTACTTTAAAAAGCAATAAAAAAACCGTCCCAAACGAAATCTAAATTTCTCGCTACTAGCTTCCAATCTCTACTTTGAATATAGCATAATTTACTGTTATCATTTAAAAATCTAAATTATAAAATGGTTTTGATACTTTTAAAGTGTACATATTTCTTAATATGAACTGTGGTTTCTATTTTACATCTTCATTGTTGTGTTTTTTTGTTTGGCCAAATTTTCGGAACGAGCGTTGTTGCAGCCTAATTTAGCGGTAGGAGCGTGAACAGAAATAAATTTTAAAACGAGCTAATACGTCAAACACTGTAGCGCATTTGTAGAATGCACGCTCCTAAATGGCGCATTCATAGAATGCGGCAATTGAAATGGCGCATTCATTGAATGCTCCGACTGATCCGACGCATTCAGTGGAGTACGCCGTAGGGTTTGGCGTATTCCATATTCCTGCATTTGTGTTTGTCGTTTCCGGAGACCAGATCCGA